AACTTTCTATATATTAATATGTTAATTTATATTGGTTTATTGGATGAAATTAAATATTATAAGAATGGGAAATTAAATTTCTTGTCCTGATGGTTGGTTAATATTAATGGTGATGGAATTTTGTAGGTTGATCCTTAACATTTGAGACACAAAAATCAAGGTATATCCTATCGCAGATCATTGGATTGGGTGAATATATATATATGTAATTAATTACCAGATAAGTACATTTGATAATTTAGCGGTGATTTCCGATGAATTTGTCAAAAATGATCAATCATTTGAATCTGTAACAACGAGAATTGTTGATATTCTTTGCAGTCTATTGAAAGGAGACACTGATCAAGTCGAAGCAAATTTAATGGTAAATGATAGTAAGTATATATTTTGATTTTGAGTGTTGGTGGTGTTGGGAGAGAGGAAAAACAATACAAATCTATTATATTTTGTATTTATCCTACTTTATTTTTGTAGAAAATATTGGTCAATAAATATTTAAAAACTTTTCAATGGAATACCAGCAATACCTGAAAAATTGAAAGAAGTTAGTCTATGTTGTATATATATGTGTAGTTTGTATAAATATTAATAATAGTGTTATTACTATTGTTTTATTATATATTATTTTAGGAAATAACAACAATTGAGAATCTGATTAAAGCAAAATCTGCTCATTATAATCAAATCAAAGAAAATTTACAAGTACTGGAATGAAAAAACACATGTATTTATATTGTTTGGTTGATTAAATATATAAAATATAAAAGACAATTAAATTTATTTCAATAATTAAATTATAGAGGAAATTTTGCAGTTTGTTATTTGTTAAAAAAGAACATTTTGTTTTAGATTCTGAATACTTGGAAAGTAAGTAATACTTTTGTGGATGTTGGTAGCATTTAATGATGTGTTAAATCAAAAACTTTTTATATTAAATTATTATCATTTAGAAATCTTTATAAAGAATGGTACTCTAAATATGAAACTATTATTCAAATGATTGTACTGCAATCTTCTCAGTAAGTCAAGAACATATTATGTTTTAAAATATGTCATTCTAATACTTTATTATAAAATATATATTATATGACCAATTAAATTTTTTACATTTATAAATATTATGTAGAAAAATTGCAGAAGATAGTGATTATGGATTGTTTACAAAATGGTTAGTGAAGAGTTTGCAAATAAATGTAGAGAAGAAAAGTTTATCATATGAGATTTCAAATATAATGAAGATGAGATGGCTAATCATCATAAAGAATTTGGGGAAGTTGGAGCTACAGAAAAAGAATTATGGGTAAATTCTCCCCCTTCAATATAAATTTATTAATTATGTTAATTAATTTTACAAAAAATTAAATTATAATACATATATTGTTAGACATCATTATTAAGATTGGCAACTATGAATTTTGGAAAAGTATTTGTATCATGGGTTCACTTGAAAATATTAAGAGTTTATGTTGAATCTGTATTGCATTATGGATTACCACCTGATTTCATGTCAGTTATAATAAAGGTATTATTTGATTCCTTACAAAAAAAATTAAAAACCTTAATAATAATAACAACATTATTATTATTCAAAATCAAATATGGAAAAGAAAATAAGAGAAATACTAAATACACAATATGGAAAATATGGAGGGGAATTGGGTAATGAGTCAAGTAAAGTTGAAAATATTGAGGAATTCCATAATTTGGTTGATAAAGATTATTATCCATATATGTGTGGTTTCAAATTTATTTTGATATTTCAAAAAGATACTTTTAATTTATTGTGTTTGTGTATTTTTATATTAATCACTTGATTATTTTGATTTTTTTATTTAATTTATAAAATATATATTTATAAACATGACATTAGTTTTACAATGATTGAATGATGAATTAATGAAAATATTATAATTTTTTTCTATATTTACATAATTTATTACTTTATTGTCTATAATATAATATATGTGTATATATGATTTTTATTCTCTTCTCATATAATAATCGATTGCAGTTGAAAAAGCAGCAAACCCTGCACAACCAAATAAAACAGCCTGAGGACCTGCTTTTGCAGCCAATATGCCACCTGTTATACAACCAGCAGCTGTACTATTATACAAATCATTTTTAGCTCTATACTATAAAGTAAAAAAAAAAAAATCAGTAATTGATTAAAGAGAAAATACTCATGTATAACTAAATTATAATACTTACACCCTCTATAACACATTCAGTGCCAGAATATATGGCACCAACTAAAGCAAAATTTTTGGCCATTGAATATGATTTATTGAGCATATCTTTAGCAGTTGCTTTAAGTTGTTGTTTCATTGGTTTATCATAGATAGATGAGTCAACAGAAGATGACATTTCAAAGGATGACATAAATGTACCAAATAATCCGCCCAATCCAAAACCTTTTTTATAATTTGTTTAAAAATATTAATATAGTCGGTCGACATCAATTATTGTTGATTAATTTATTACCTGCTACTCCACTTAATGCAACTTTAAATAAACATGACTCTTGGACCATTTGCATATATATAATTTCTTTTGGAACTGGCTCACGATTTGGAAAACTCATTTTTTTTTTTAAAAAAAAATATAAAATAAAAAAGATTTTTTTAAATTAAAATTTAATCTTGGTGGAACAATATACAAAATGACATGTAAACTCGATAAGTCGGACGCAGCAATCAATGTTTGAAGTACTCGATAATATAAATAAGTGACCGACTTATCGAGTTTACATGTGTATTAACAAACCAACGTTTATCCGGACAGATGATTCCCAGTATTGCATCCAATAAATTGCAATTCCAAGCTGCTACCACAAATGCTACTGTAAACTTGAATCAAGATGACAACCACTCGTTTCTTGAGTTAGTTTAAATTCTCCTCTATCAATTCATTTGTTTTTTTCTCTGTATCAATCTATTCTTATTGTTCACATTCCACAACTATATTTTGCAATTAACGTCCACGGAATGTGTATTTCACGAAATTTATTGGCATGTGCGAATTCATCGAAAAATAGTTTTAATATTAATATTATTATTAACTGTGTAATTTTTTGCATTCGAATTTTCCTTGGCATTCTATCTAGGTGAGAATCTGTCAGTATGATATCTGAACTCAAGGAAATAGTGTTCCTAACCGAAAACCAAATTTTTTACGAACATTCAATTTAATTTATTTCGTAATTATTTTGGATACTCGTAATTGTTTTTGGATATTCGTTAGAATAACCTAATCAGTTATCTTTTTACCAACAGAAATGAGTTGTGTAAATCAGTGCACAGGGATTTTCTGGTTGGTCTAGAAGAAGATGGCAAAATTGAAATTTTTAAAGTATTATGCCTTCAGGAAGTTGTGACATCAATTGACACCAGAGATTCAAATTATGAGTCCAAGGACTGATTTGTGTGATACCTGTCAACGTTTTCGAAATGGTTTGCATTACAATGCTCGTCAAGAGGAAGAAGATAAAGAAACACTAAAAAGATTGCAGCGTCAATGCTACTGCTCATTACACTGATTTGGGTAAAATGAATGGATCATGACAAGAGGATTTTTTCTGAATTCCAGTTAAACTTGGATCCTCCTTCCCCTGCTGAAAAATATTGCATAAAGAACCTGATTGGACCAGTCACAGAGAAAGCTGATGAATAGATTGATAAAAATCAAAAGTCAAGACATAGGGAAGAAAAGGAATCTTTGAAAACAGCCCAGTACCTACCTAATTTATGCCTTTAAATTAATCGCCCCAATTATCTTGTATAGATGGGGCTATTGAAAGCATGAAACAAAGAAATGATAACACATTATAAAACTGTTAATACAATTGTTGCATTGAAATTTCATTGCTTCGAACCACAGGAATTATTCTGTTCACTTTGCCTGGTACTCCCAGTATGCCTCATATGTTTTGGAACTTCTTTCACCGATTAAATAAACCTCCATTGTTATTATCTATGCACTATTAAAGCTCGGTATTAAAATGGGAGTTGGTGAATATTTACCAGCCTCATGATAATTATCTTTAGGTTTAAACATATTACTACAGTTATGACTCGGAATATCTTTCTAAAATGACAATACCCTCAGTATTTGGATCTGTTATTAAAAAATTCAAATTTTCTAAATACTGATGATTTCCACAAACAGAAATTTATATACCATGAAATTTACACATTTATTTCAAAATACAAGTGTTTGTAATAAACTAGAACACAATGATCTGTTGTATATTTTTAATGATTGTACCAATTCAAACTATACATATATATTATTTATAATTCGCCAGTCAGCTCATCAGTAGAAATGTAGATTGATTGACTGATAAGAAATAAAAATCGTTTATAAATATTTTAATCTAAAGAAAAAAATAAAAAGTCTATACTGCCTACACACGCTATAATAACCAATAGTAATAATGCTAATGATTATAATATATATCATATACTTTTTTCTGAATTGAAAATAAATGGTAAAAATGAAATTTGCCCATCTTCCCATATCTATTTTTTTTTTTTTTGAAAAAAACAATAACTATTATTATTACATATTAAAATCCCAACCCAAGACCAAAATCCGAACATATATTTACCACACTTAGTAAAGCACCTCTTTTAAATTGATTTGCGAAATTGATGGAGATTGGTACTGGATCAGGTCTTGCTTGAAAAATTGCATCTTCTTGATTTAAATACCATGAGGGACCTCTGATCAAATCTTGAAATGTCAAAAGTTTATTAATCCGTGTTACAAGTGTTGGTCGATTAGCTTTGAATACGATAATGTATTTGTTATTATCAATATTTGCTACTAATCTTTCTCCTGTTGGATCTATTGCTAACGAGTCTATAACACTATTCTCAGAACTTTGGTACATGTGGGAGGGAGAGAAATTATATATATAATGAATTACACGTGTGTGTGCGCATGCATTATGTATAGAAGAAATAAATATATTACCATGATGGAATATTTGCGATGTTGGTTTCAACTAACCATTCAAAATCTAGATTTGGTGAAATGGTAACTGAACGAATACAATAATCATTTTCTAATATAAGAAATACAGCATGTCCATCTTTTGTCCAACAAGCTGACTATTTATCATTATTATTAATTATTATTATTATTAGTAAAAAAATTTTTATGTGTGTATAAGAAGAGATAGAGGGTTGATTATCATCACTATCCACATACCTTGATAGAATCATTTTTATTAAAAGGCACAGTGAATTTTTTCGAAGTCCATCGTTGAGTTTCCCACACTTCTATTAAACCGCCTCTAAAATATATTATCATTGTCACGATCATTATCATTACACATATTTAGATATATATACATAGATTATATACAATTAGTCAACAGCTTACAAGTAAGTGGCAAAAAGAATATTTCCCAGTGGACTCCAAACAAGAAGATTAACGTTGCAATTATTAATTATTGGTGTGCCAATTTCTAATGTTGTATTCCACAAAATAATTGATCCATCTAATGATCCTGTTGCTAATAAAGTGTTGAATGAATCAAGGATTTAATTATAGATATGTGATTATAAATATATTTATATATGTTAAATAAACATTTAATTGATTGATATAATTTAGGATATTTTTCATTTGGATGCCAAGCCAATGTTACTATATTTTCATGACCAGGGTAATGAAGATAATGCATCCATGCACTTAATGTTGATGTGTCACCAGAATTTATATTTTGATTCAATGAAAGTTCCCATAGACATATTCCACGTCTTCAACATTTATATTAGAGGAAGAAAGAAAACATAAAATCGTCATATTAATTACAATATAATTTTAATTATAGTGATTATTTATTATAAACATTACAATTAATATAATTAATGTCAAACATACCGGCATCCAACAGCTAATAAATTACTACCAAATGGTTTCCATGCCATACAAGTTATTTCTCTTTGTAATTCAGTTTCCAATACTTCCGGAAACCAGGCTATTTATTTGTATGAGCAGATGAGGGCATAAATATGTATTAATTAATTAATGTGTGTAACAAGTAGAATATTATTATAATATATCCAATATCCAATAAATAAATAAATATCACTATGATCCATTAAATAAATATACCCTCAACACGTAAATCATATAAATAAATTGCATCAGCTTTATGAGCAATAGCAAAGAGCGAACAACGTGGATGCCATGCAAATATATATTTTGCAGAATTATTTATCCTTTCTCGTAATGATTTGATATAATGATCGACATCTTTATTGAATAATAGAATTGATATAAAACTCGGTAAAATATTTCCAAGATTTAAAGTGCTGATTTGATTCTTCTTTTCTCTATTGTTTGTATGGATGAATGCGTAAATTTATATGTATGTAAATTATATGTATTATAATATGTAACTATTTGTAAATCCATATATAATATATAAATAACTACCCACTCAATCCAAGTTTTTGATCTCTCAATTAAACTAAACAGGTTGAAATTTGCATGTGGCATCATTTCATAACTTGTTGATGCAGATAAAAATTTACGTTTACCAAATTTTGTTTCATGTGGATATTTAATATTTGATGGAATATATAATCTTGGAAATGCAAGCCCCTATATAAAACATAATATACATATTGATATTAATATTAAGACTATTATTTTGTCTATCAAACAAGCAAACAAGTAAGATAGTTGTTGTTACCTCTGCATTTATGTATTTGACAATATTTTGATCATTTGAATCCTTAATATGGACTATTAACAACAATTATATATCATAATAGTTATGAAAAAAGAAAATTTTAAAATTTTAATACAATTGTTGTTCAACCAACAACTTACCAAGTTTTCCTTCAACTTCTCCTATTGTGATTTCACTATCTTCTAAATCTTTAATGATAATAATAGTTATTATTATTTAAGATTAACCTTTAAGATTAATTAACAAAAAAAAAAAGACTTACTATTTGTCATTATTATTTATTCATTCAAACTTCAAGAAAATATTTGAGAACTTAAAATCACGTGAAATAAAAAGGACGTTGTGTATAATTGGTAATAATTTGTGTCAATCACATTTTAATAAAAAGAAATTTTATTGGCCTGAATAATTTTAAGCTGTAGTGAAAATTCACATAAAATAATCACCATCTGTCAAATGACATTGTTCAGTGATTGATCGAACTGATCTATCAATAGTTTGCCATCTTCAGGATGTAGGAATTTTGTATCTCACAAAAACATGCATCTTCAAGTTGAAATTCAACATTAATAAATTAGATTCATTTAATTGATTTTTGTAATAAATATAACTAATCGTGGTTGTTGACTGGGTTGATCAACAATCAAACAGGTTTCATCACTTAATTAGCTTGATATATGTCTTCTTTGAACACCAATCATATATAATACATGATTTGAAACTTTGGGATTTTCTTATTGTTATTAATTATTTGAGTTGGGAGATGCTAAAGGATGTTAAATGTGTTATTATTTTAGAGAATGAAAATTTGACATAGGTCCAGGGACTATGCTTCATAAAATTAACATTATACCTTAATGAAATCACAGATTCTTTTGCAAAATTAATAGGAGCTGTTAATAAAATTATTGTAATAATAATAACAAGATAATACAGGTTGGTTAAGAATTTTAAGTTATATATTGATACTCTGGTGCAGCAAAAAATCGTGTGTTATAGGTGTAAATAAATGTTTGATTCAAGATTCTTGAAAGTTGCCCTTCCAATTCCATATTAATTTGCTATAACAGGGGTTTTTGATGGTGGTGTTGATAATGATGTTGGAATGGATTCTAAGAAGGATGCAAATCAAAAAATCATCTTTTATGAATTTTGCTTTGCCAATCAGCTCAATATTATCATCATACTCATTAGCTTTTCTATAATATCTTTGCCCATTCCATTTCATATTTCCGGTTGTATCATGCCATGGTGCTATAATTTTTGCCTTTGACAATTAGATTGAGTGATAATCCAGCTTCCAAATCAAAAAAACTTTCTTAATGCAAAAATAATTGGTAATGTTGGATAACTTTTTAATATGGCTAATTGTTTTGAAATATAATCAATTGGAGATTTATTCTTATTACTACTACCGCCATTATTATTGTTATTGAAATTTTCATCAAGTAAATGCATCATTATTGTAATTTGGTTGAAGATTTGTATTTTGCCCAGTGATAAATTTTAAAAACCCTTTTTAACTCAGATTGATTGATCGATCAAGTTCCTCATCAGCACCAGCACAATTATTACCATTATTATTGAATTTAAGTGAATCAATTGCAAGTTACGACATATGAAAACGAATTGTGACTAATTGCGGTTCCATCTTTAGTTTGTACATTTTTTATCCTAATTTTCTCTTTCTCGCCATATTGTGGCATAGTTTCATCCTTATTTAAATAACTTATAACTCGTTGAATATCTTTAAAAAGATGACCTACTGTTCCTTTATTGTTATTACCATTGCTAGTAATTTTTTAAAAGGTCTCTCGAAGAAAAGGAGCATTATAGAATAAGCCTGTGGCATATAGTATAATATAAAAGATTGCAAAGCAGAAATTTTATTTAAAAAATGGTACTTTTGCAACTTGATTTTAACTTTTTCCTTTTTAAAAGTCCTGTTCAACAATAATAGTAACCTATGCCATTGGTAATAACTAATGATCAAACCTTATAATCACCGCGTTATGAGTATGCTGAACAACTACTTTTCTATTACTGGACCACGCGTAAATTTAGTAGCAGTCAATAAGTATGCATGCTCATTAGTTTCATTATCATTACACGTTGGCCCAATGTGACACCCGCGTGTTAGTATTGGCTGCAGAGGATTTTACCGAAACCATCAAAATTATCGTGTTAAAATTCGAAATTTCTTTATACATATTTATTCATTATTCTTTATTTGTAAATCGTTACGCGGTCTTTCTGTAAACGGTTCCAGATATTGTGGCTCTTTGTTGTTGTTGAAATTGATCATTATATCTTCCTTCTCTACCATTATTATATAGTGATTTATTTTATCAATTCATCATCAAATCATCACTCTTTTTTTTTATTGTTGTTTAAGTATCAATCCATCATATAATAATTATAAGATCACATCTGTGAAATACTGTCATTGACCATGGCATTTATTCTTTCAAAGTGTAAAGAGTTATATAGTTTATATATGTTCACTGTAAAAATTTTAACAACAAAAATCAAATCAAATCAAATCCATAAAATTTCTTTCAAATGCTTGAGAACACCTCTCTTCTAACTCTGAAGTGTCTCTTCATATTTTTTTTTGAATTATTTTGGTAGCATGTTAAATAGAATCCGAACTTTCTATTGGCATGCCTTTTATGTCCTATGGTTGATTCCTGGTAGCTGTAAAATGGTTTGATGTAAATTTATTATTTAAATTACATGCAACCAACTTTTGAATTACTTTACTTTTCCACTTTTACCGTGTTGCTTGATGTTTTTATTTCAAGAAATAATAATAATAATAAAATATAAATCACAACAACTTATTTACCATATAATTAATTGACAAATGATCATATTAGTATTAGCAATCAATTAAATTATTATCAATATCATTTAATTTAGCCATCTCGTCATTTAATATTCCACTTGTATGATATGCTAATGGATGTGATTTGTGCATTCGTTGTGAATTACTATTATTGTTACTACTACTACTAGTAGTAGTAGTAGCACCACTAATATCATACTGTCTTGTTTTTTGATCTCATGCTTCTCAAAAAAATTATGTTTTAATAAAAAATTTATCCTAATATTAACATTAATGTCTAATGTTAAATACTTGATATCAAATATCAAATATAAAATATTAAATATTAACATTTTTAAAAAACAAAGAAACTAACGTAAAATCGTGAAGCCATCGAAAAAATGTTCAACTTATATATTTTTTTATTCACGAAGGTTTTTTTTAAAAAGCATTCCGTAGTTCCAATAATTAATTTGTATGGAAATTATCGAAATTAAAAAATTTCGTATATTTTCTTTCTGGAATTATAATAACTATCACTAATAATATTCTTTGATGATTATTAGTTTTCATAAAATGAAAAAGATTGAAATTGTCTTTAGCGTTCGAGTTTGAAACACATGCACAGTGCATGTCAATATTAATATGTAGAGTTTTGTTTCGATTTTTAACTTTGAAGTTAACTACGCGTAATAAAATAAAATGAACGCGCTTGAGTGCCTGAGTTTGAAACACACACATGCGGGTCGATATTGATGGTATACAAGACAGGTTTTTGTAAGTTTTAACTTTGAAATTTTAAAAGTGTCAAAGCAGGAAACAAAAAAAAAAAAAAGAATGCTAAAATTCTTTTGTTGTCGAATATCGATGAATCATGATTTTTTTTATGTTAAAGTTGTTCTTTAAACAATGTAATTTTGATTTTTCGATTTTTCAAATAATTCATTTAATTATTAATTCTGATAAGAACCAATTTAAAATTGTTTGTCACGCACTATTCAATTTTCCGCAAAGAAAAACGAGTTTTTAAACGAAAATCTAACAGTGAGTTTTGTGAAATACAGATTAGTATTATAGCGCGATGATATTCTGACTTTATAACAATACAATATCACACAACTCAATCACACACATATATATTCGTTCTGAGCATCAAAGTTAGCGAAGCATCTCAGCATCCTATCTTAATATTTCATGGACATTAATCAAGTAGCCTAATAAATTACAACAAAAACATATAAATAGATCTGCTACCCCCACTCGTGGACAAAAAAACGGTGCATTGGTTGTTTTTACGCTGCATTCGGATTCGAGGGTCGAGGCACGTAGTGCTGAAATGACGTTCTATGTAAGATTTGGCTTTGCACTTTACATTCAAATACGAAGTATCTATATATCATCAACATCAACCAATCATATTATTATTATATCAATATTTTATTTTTCCGAAAGGAAATTAAAAATAAAATTTTTTTGAATTCCGACTAATACTAACATGTTGTGTGACAAGTCTTTAACGATCTGAAATCCGAGGTAAAGGCTCCAATGGAAGGCTATAAGTTTTGGTCATTTTGAATGGCCCAAAAACATCAGAGAAAGACGGAAACCTAACTGTAGTCAACAATAAGCACCGTACAAAAAACATCTAAAACGAAACACGACTTCCTTTCAATCAAGTATCTGCTTCTCTCAACTGATAAATTTTTCAGTTGCCAAATAGATAGCAATGGGAATTCGCATGTAAAAGTAACCACAGCCATTTATCATTTTGGAAAACGAAAAAATTTTTGTTCAAATTTCAATTCAACAAATTAATTTAGCAAATCATTTCAAGCCAGCGTAGCAAAAAAAGAAAAAAAACGACACATTACAAAGTTTTACCCTTTGATTTTGAACTCATCCTTCCCCAACAATTCAGTTACTAAAGTTGAGCAACAAAACGTTTAGAAGATTCGTGATTCGTCACCGTAACTACACTGAATTTACCGTTTCAAGTCTTAACGAGTCTTCTTTACAACAGAATATTTCCCGTGCAACCAAACATTTTTAATTTCAAATTTGGGGTGAAATTGTTAGATATAAAGCAACCTTCATTTCTTTTATGTGAAGGAAGTAACTCTAAAAAAAATCGCATGTTAAAACACAAAGTCAAGTTTTATATTTTATATTTTATATTTTATCACCAGAAAGAAAGGAATTTGTATTTAAATTTATAATGAATGTACAATAATGCGTATGTTAAAGATTATTTTTTTCGTTAGTAAAAAAAAACAAGAAGCTTTCTGAAAATGAAAATGAATTTTGTAAAAGAGAGTTTAATTTATGATTTTGAATTAAAAAATGCAAGGTATAAAGAAGGCAAATCAAAAGAATGTAACAAGCGTAATTCAACAAGTTACCTCTGATAAATTCTGTGAAGGTTGCATAAGTTTACAATTATAGACTCTTTTCACTACTTGGACATCTGGAAATAACATAGTTGATAATTTTAAATGTGCGCAAATGATGAATTTAAAAGAAAAATCACTACGAAACAAAGAAGACTCGATTGTACAAAGTTTTATTACGCTAACATTACTCAAAACTTTAACCATTTATAATCCTAATATACAGTATTGTCCACTATGTCCAGTTTCAAACCAGGTTGGGCCAAACCGGATTCAAACTTTACATTGTTTATTTATAAATATAAACATTTATATTTTCTACTATTATGTTCTGTTTGACAAAAAACTCAAATATCAACAATAATTAATGAAACAAATTACAAATAAATTATTAAATAAACTTCTATACAATTAATACTAATATTATTTCCTTAAGTAACGAAAGCGAAATGAATCATAATTCTGCTGTTACTACTAATTCATCACCTGCTGCTTCTGTGAGTTATAGTTTAAAATTTATTAATGGGGATTTAGTACAAGTTAACAATATACAAGTTCCTACAAACTATAAAGAACCAGTAATTATCCCTGACAACATTCAATTAATCTATCCACTTCCTTTTAAAGCTAAAGATTTAGTTGGGATTATTCCAAGATATAAGCAAGTTGCGACTATTCCAAGATGTAAGCAAGTTGCGACTATTCCAAGATATAAGCAAGTTGCGACTACTCCAAGATATAAGCAAAAAATCCTCACAAAATCACCAAATCAATTTTTCATTTATCGTAAAGCTTGGATTGAACGATTTAGACAAGAAAATTTTCAATTTTCAATGATTGACATTTCTGGCTTTATAGCTATACGATGGAGGGAAGAACCAGAGGAAGTTAAAGCAATTTTTGCTAAGATGGCAGAAGAAGCAAAAGAATTGCTCAAAAAAATAAATAATTTTTAATTTCCAATGTATTATTTATTTATTCATTTATTTAGTTTGTTATTAATTCATTATTATATATAATCATGTATTAATTATTATTATTAAATTTTTTATCAGTCATCACCAATTTTGCCACGGCGGACTTCTTGCATGGCAAAGTTTGACTGTAATAATAAAAATGTACATTTTACACTTGGAGTAAACTTTCAATGAAAAGTTCTAGTATCTTCGAGGGTCCTATTCTTGTTCACTCATCTTTCTATATATAATAATAACAGATCTTTGTTCTATAATAATAAGGACTGAGAATTTAAAGAATAATTATATTGACTGAAAGATATAATTACTTGTGGCCTGATAACAGAATTTACAAAATTTACATGAAAATTATAAATTTAAAAGGATCTATCTACAAATCCTAAAAGAAAAAAAAAACTAAAAACTTCCAACTATCTAATTCATAAGTTTTAATAATAAAATAATAATGCAAATGATTATTTAATTGATAACTAATTTTATGTCACATATTAATATATAAATTATTACTATTATATTATGCTTTTGTTCCAATACATAATTTTTTTTACAATGTATATATGTGAAGAATCTCAAATATAATTTTTTGTTATTTGTATGAAAAAATGTTATGAATTATCATGTAACATTCGTATTTTCTTGAATTATACAAGGTAGACAGAATGATAATTAATACATTCCATTTATTATGAATAGTGTAAAAGTAGCTTTTTGCTCAACCTCGGTTATCTTATGTTTATGGCCAAGTTTAATGACACAATTAATTTTTTCACGAAATAAAGATTATTTATTGTGTAACGGGATGTAATTGAAGAAGAAAAAAACATAAAGAATATGGATATTTATCAATATAAGACTTACACATTTTTAATTAATACTTGGCATTTGGTTTGTATTATATGCATATTACTTAATATTTTTATTAGAAGGATGATTTTGGAACAAAGGTTGCTTGATAAATTTAAAATGTTTTTGATTTAAATAATTTTTTTTGTTTCATTTTACATTTCTTTTTACTATTTAAAATCCAAAGGCCTTTCATCCTTACCACAATAATAAAGTCAAATGATTTTTCTCAAATAATTGAGTTCATGTTTGCAAGGAAAGCTCGTACTTTATAAAGAATAAAGAATGATTGATATCTGGTTAAATCCTTTATATATAAATTAAATAAAGCAATCAATTGCAATTAATGTAAATACAAATTTAAAAATAATATATAAATAGATTAAAAGTTTGTATTATGTATATATTTTATTGTGTTTTTAACTACAAGTAATTTCGATGTCGTGCATGATCTTAAAGTACACTGAGCCAATATTAGAAGATACGACTATATATAAACAACTCTTACACTTCTGAAGAGATTCCATAGTTCTAAATGGTGTAAAAATATGAGCATTAATTTTTAATATTCAATCGTTACATAAAAATAAATGTTACATATTCTGGGTAGTGAGTATTAAATCTAAATGTCAAAGTATTTCATCAATATTAATAATCTTTATATATTTAATCATAAATATTATTTTCAGCAGCTTTTGCAGTTTGTATTCCTACAGCGCCAGTGCAATAAGAATTTTTTATAAAGGAATGACAACACTTGTAACCCCAATTGCCACCATTCCAATATGATCCCCAAACTGAATTATGGTTATTAATAAACACTAAAAATAAAAATAAAATACGTTGGTTTAAAATCATTTCACAAAGCAAACATATATATGAAAAAAAAAATTTTAAAATAAAATAAAATATATCATTTACCATCTTCCTCGTATCTAGATTTAGCTTTGGCTCTTTCTTGACCTTTTATTATCCTACCAGTTCTTGAGTACTCAACATAAGTTTCAGATTGAGCTAAAAGTAATTCTTTAGGTGGGGTGTCCAAATGTTCCTCGCCACCATATTTTGCCAAAATTGATTCCTTACTGGAATCTTTTAATTTTTCTTTTTTCTGAAGAAATTCGTGATAAAGTAGTTCACCTTGAGTTGGATTTGCCTGTAAATGAACATCAGTACCCTTTTCATAAGCTTGCCATGCAAATAATTGTAAATTAGCCATTTTAGGTGCATCGCCGGTGTAGCGCACAAAGTTGTCACCAGCATAAAATGCCTAAAGACAATAAAGCGTGTGGTTAAAATAAGGAATTATTTAAAAATCTATTTGTATATACACATGCAAATTTGATTATTAATACTTGCATCATCAGGTTCTATTTCTTTATTGGGATTGTCCCGCATAGAACGTGTTTTTGGATCATAATGAGCAGAATTTATATCTAAATTTCTCAAATATTTAGCAGGATCTTCACGAATTCTATATTAAAGAAATTTTTTTATGAGTTTAGTATTAAATGTTATGTTATTTGAGTAATTATAATTATAATTATGATCATGATTATCTATAGATAATGTTATACCTTAAATTTCTTATAGTGGTTCTAGTTTTTGTATTAACCTTTTGACCAGGCATATCAGACCTTTCGGCATATTTATCATCATCTTCATCGTCCTCATCGCTAGAAAATTCACCGGCAGTACGTTTACCAGTTTTTTTAACCAATTCAGTAGTACTTTGTTTATCAAGTTCATTTGCTTTGATTTTACGACGTTCGTCTTCAATCTTTTCATATTCTAAATATAACAACAGTAATTATTATTATTATTATTATCATTATTATTATTATTATTTATTGCCAGTAATTAAATTTAGGATAATTAACACAAACCTTCATAAATTTTTACATGTTCGGAAGGATCGTAACCATTCCATCTATCTCTCTTTGCATCATAATCTAATTCGATATCTTGAATTATTTCATCAGCCTATAAATATATTAAAATTTATAAATTAAAACAAATAAATTTATTACATTTTCAAAGTTTTATAATATATATATAACATACCTTAATATCTGTACCAGACCATTTTGCACCTGTTTTTCTTGGACGATCCATACAATCTCTAGATTTATGAGTCATTGCACCACAATTTTCACAAGCACCTTTTCTATATTTTTTTGCTGCAGGACCCTAATAATGATTTAATTAATCCGATAAATATAATTTATGTTTAAAAAAAAAAAAGAGTTAATGACCATTATATAAAATACTTACAGCTCTAACACCTCTTGCATACCATCTATCATTAACCATTTCAGATTCATCGTTATTTTGAATAATTCTTTGATGCTTTAAACTAGGTCCACCAGTATCCAAATACCCTATATAATTCAGTTCCACAAACAAAAAAGAACAATTAATATTAAAAGCTTTTTTCATAGATCGCTCGGTTAAAAACAATATTACATACAAGGTGCTTTTGCAATGTATTGTGGAATATGAGGATTGATATCTTTTCCTTCCTCATCTTGTTCGGCTGGAGCTGTACCAGCTTTTCTTGCAGCTTCTAAATCTTTTTGACGACGGTAGTCTTCACGACTTAATTTTCCACCTATAATAATAATAATAGTAGTAATAAATATCTAGTTTACAGGCAACTAATCAACAAAAAGGAAAAAAAGGGCTTTGCCTACCTGATTTGAAACTTATTGAAGACATAATTTTTTAGATATATTTTTAATTAATATAATGATGATCAATTTGGCTTTTTGTTCATTTATTGGTGACTTACTTATTTTAGACGCTTTGACTGAGAGTAATGGATAAAAGAATTTTGTGTAAATTTGATTGAGAAAATGAAAGAAATAATACCAAATTGTCTATGGAAATATTTTAGCATATACAATAACAATTCTTCTAATATTTTCATTAATACCACCAACACTTGAAATTGCAAAAAAACATACAAGATTGCTGGATTTATAAATAATATTAGTAATAGTAATGGCAGTAATGGTAGTGGTAGTATGTAGTATTAGGAATTTAACAGAATATTTTAATAAAGATTTTATAAATTTTAGAGTAATAACAATATAAATACAGCGTGTTGCGAAAAAAATGGCAATGTGAAAAAATTACGTTTAAACAAAACTAGATCCATTGAAAATATTTTCAAAAAAGGTCTAATGTGCGAGATTCTTTGTATGAAGCTTTATTAATATTTAGACTTTTTCCTGATACCATTACTCAATCATAAATTGCTTCATCAATATCTTTTGGCGTTCTTTTTTTATGACCTGTCACATCTTCAATTGATGTCTGCTGATAATGATAAATGTTTTGCTGTTTTCTTTCAAGAATATCAGGATGCTTCGAGGGACCATTTTTATATCCATTTCGTCCTTATATTAACCATGTATTATTGCAAAGGTTGTGGCAAAAGAGAAAATCTTCTTTGAAAACATGATTAATAAATAAACAGACTTGCGAACCAAATCTGTTACGTAACCAAGTGATTTGTTGTCCTGCATCAGAAAATAACCTTTCAGAAGGAACAGATGATTCTTTTTAGCTAAAATAGAAAGTATTGTAAATCTATTTTCATCATCACACCACTCACTATTTCAATGGTTCATTTCTTCTATAGGAAGCAGTTGAGAGATATTTTTGTATGCTTCAAATTCATCTAATTCGTTATATATTTTTTAAAAAAAAGCAAAGTAATAAGGATCTTTTAAATTTATAAATGTAAAGAAAGTTACCATTTCATAATAGAAGATCATTAGGACCAATCCTATATAAACAAACAAATTATTAATTAATTTTTTCTTCTAAAATTAAAATATTAACTGGGAATATGTAAATTGTCATATTATACTATAAATGAGTAACAGCATAATTAAACTAATGAATGGTTCTATTAAAAATAGGCCTAAGCAGTACACAATATAAATATCCGCGTTTAATTTCCTCATATCTTCCATAGAACATACTTTTCAAGTAATCAATAAAATGGTTTATCATAATTTCCACTATTTTACAGTTCTCGATATAGATTTCTAGTTATTCAAGATTACCTCTTCGAAATTTCTTACAAATGAAATAAACATTTGTGAAAAAAAGCCACAACAATTAACATGAATATTATTTGGCATCCAAACCTTTTTGTTTCATTTACAAAATGATACGATACTATTTAGAATTTCAACCTCTTTAAAATGTTTGGATGCCAAGCATTTACTTAATTTCAGTAATTTAGTTTGCTGCTAAAAAATCAATACATGTCTGCTCAGTTTGCTGAAAATAAAGAATTTTTAGTTGTACGTTGCTGCCACTTTAACAATCACGTTTCAAATCTTTTACTACTATTTCCAATTGATCTTTCAATCTTTTCATTTATTAACAATATTTCAGCCTTCTTAAAGAACAATTCTCCTTCATCATCTAACTTCTATTAAATTGTCAAAAAAGTTGTTTGTATTTTACCCAACCATCAATTCCTCATCAGCCGTTGTAACATTATCTCATCTGAACATTCAGATTTGTAATAGAAAAGAAATGGCAATTCAGTATGTTTCAATTTACTAATATGGGAATAACTGACATGACCAGCTACGGAAGAAATCTTAGAAAAAAGAAATATGATGATTATAACTGATTATTGTAGGCTGCATTATTTCCCCATAGCTTATCATTATTATTATTATCATTACAAGGACTAAGGAAAAATAGGACTGCTAAAGAAAAATTTTTTTAAATTGGGTTGGATAGTGCATATACTACTGTTATCAGAATTGGGATTTAACTCTGATTTGTTGGTCGAAATACCCTAATTCTGAATCAAATCTTTTATTTCTATTTTTACTTTTTATTTTCACTTTATTTTTATATTTACGTTTATTTATTCCTTATATATTTCATTTCTTATTTTATTTTTATTCATTTATATTTTTACTATTTTATTTGTATTGCGCTTTTATTTTTATAACGTCGAAATTTAAAATGCTAGATTGCAATGAAGTTGTTGCTAATTAATTTAATTGTATATAAGAAGCTCGAATTCGACATACTTGTAATAACTTTGTATTATTAGTTTTAATAACTTTGTAATAAAGTTTTAATAACTTGAAAATTAACTTAAAAATAAGTTAATAAATTAGTTTCGGCTAAATAAAACGTTTTCTTAATATTAAATCACTAAACCAAAATTATTCGCTAATAAAACTAATTCGTTAATAATTGCCAATTCATTACATAAATTTATATTGTTATCATCAATTAACACGCTTTCACAAACAATAATTGGTGACGCTACTATCGCGGCTTATTCACGGATATTCAATGGATATTAAGAAGAAATATTTGTATTAGTGAATGACTGTAGATCCGCAATGTCCTACGACTGTAAATGAAAATAATAAACCGTGATAGTAATATCCGGATATTCACGGATATTCATGGATATTCATGGATATTCACAGATATTCACGGATATTCACGGATACTATACGACGGATATAACCACTAAAAAAAGCATCGTCATTTTCGCTTTAGTAATTCACTAAATAATATTGGAATAGTTTATTTTTCAAAAAATCTGGCAAAGAAGAATACCGTAAAGTCTGGAAAGATAGCACCCCCCGAAAGATAGCACTCCCTACTTTAAAACAATTGAGCGTCAATATAAAAAAAATGTTACACATATGTAAAAGGGGATGCTATCTTTCCAGACTTTACGGTATTCTTATAATCTCCTTAAAAATAATGAATTTGATAAAAATTTTCTCCTTTAACAGATGACCGTAAAAAATATTTATGTAATAACATTTGTCAGCATGTAGATAATCCATATAAAGATATCCTTTGCACAAACCCTAATTAAATTTTATTGTCATTATTTATCATTATTATATATTAATTTTACGCAAATTAATTTTGTTACCCGATCACTCATTTTTTTACTAAACAAATATGGTTGATTTTCTCACCATTGTAATCCTTATGCAAAAAACTCGGAGAGGTCCCTATCCATATATTCCTACTATTGATCTGCGTGAATGTTATCGTTAATCTTTAATTCGGATCCGTTATTATTAATGATTATAAAAACTTCAACTTTACTCAAAATGAATTTACTCACGAATATTTTTTTTTTTTTGGTGTTAGAAAATTTTAAAAATGTTTTCATTAAAAGAAATCATTTCAGCATTTGCAACAATATTATTTATAACAATAATTTTTTCATCATTAA